AATTATTATTCTCATTTTCCATATTTATTTGTCGCTCAATTCCGCCCCGAGAGATAAATAGTTAATAATTAAAATGTTGAATGTTTTTTGTTGGACTCCCATTCTTCTAATTACTTGCAATTAGCATATTTCTCAACTAAACAGTTATTAATTTTTAACGTGCTATTAATTTCATTTTTAGACTGGGTGTCGGCTCAATAATGAATATTTGTTTACAGCAAACCGTTTGGCTGAAATTTCATACTTTATAGATTTAAATCACATAATTCATACTAAAGCATAAAGCATGCAATTTTAGGGGAGTTGCAAACATTTGACTAAAGGTTTGGTTCTTTAACTTTTATGCTCATTTTTCACATTTACGATCACAAACTTCTTGGCTCTTTTATATCTCATTTCTCTTCTTTACTTTTCATTTTAAACTGAAACGTGCTCATTGTTGTTCGCAAATTTTCGCCTTAATTCCTTAAATGAAGCCCAAAATTTGAGATAAACAAACTTAACTATATTTCGTGAATAAATCTTGCTGAGAGATAGGAATATATATGTACATACATATATCTATGTATGAGATTAATATTGCTTGATTATTTTTTCAAATTTACTACATATTCAAATATGGGCAATTCAGCTAACAATAAATTGAAAAAAAATTTTTTTTTTTATTTTTCTCCTCAATTTACAGAATTTTTAACTAATGAATGAATGAAAGTAGTAAATTTCTACAACCATCATAAATAAGTAGTAATAATGAAAGAGAAAATTGTTTAAAAAACAACCAGCAGGGAAAAAATTTTTTTTTTTTGAAAAGAAATGTTTTTAAACTTTTCATAATTAAAAAAAAAAACAAGAAAATCGAAAAGAGAAAAAAGAAAGGAAAAACAATATACGAGCGCTTGTTGTTTAGTCAAGTGCCCATTATACACTCTTAAAGACTATAGACTTTTATAACTTGTATGCAAAGTGGTAAATTACTAAACAACTTTTTTAACATTGTTATGATGGTATTGCTGCTGCTGCTGCTGCTGATTATTGCTCGTTGTTTAGTTTTTGTTTTCGTTTTTTTTTCGTTATTAAATTAAACAATGACAACATTTACACGCTTTACCCTATAATTTGCCTGAATATAATTTAATTGTAAAGGAAATTAATATATATACACTTTTGTTTATTTATTTTATAATTTTAATATTTAAGTACGGAGAGGAAATTATACCGTACCTACTTACCTATAATATGTAACTGTACATTTAATACTATATCTTCATTGAAATCAAGAATAAATCATGAGAAAAGTGAGTTAGAATTCAATTACCTGTTTTTCAAATTATTTTTATGCTTTATTATGTGGGTGAAAACTTTATTATAATATAGGGGAGAATTTACTTATTGTCTGTCTGTTTTTTTTTTGTTTAAAGCTGGGAAATTGTTGTACTAATTCTTAAATTTTATAAATGCTTGAATATTATTCACACGATACCTTAGTAGGAGTTTGATTTTTTATGCTCGTATGAAAAATTTACAATACTTGCTTGGGTTTTAGACATATATTTACATAATATTTATATATGTGTAAGAAAAGCATGATTTTCTCTCTAAAGTACTTTTTTGTGTTTCTAAAGAATTAAGTATAAATTATATTATACGTACATATTTACATTCACATACACTGACTGATATGTTACAAATTTTTGATTATTTTTCTTATATATTTGAATTAATTTATTTTGAATCATAAAATTTGAAAAACGAGTACAATGTACATTTAATAATATGAAATTTCATTATGTAAATTTGTTTATGTGTGAAGAAGTATGAGATAAGCGTTATTATAACTAACACTTATTTACACATACTTACATATGTACATATACTTAACGGTTTGAAAAATACTCTGAATAGATGGCAACAGAAAAATTCAGATTATGTAGTCTTATTTAGCTTGCTTTTGTATTTCTGAAGTAGTAACCAAAGCGCAGCATTATATTCTAGTATAAGAACTTTTCCACCCGCAAATTTTTCATACTTGAATTCATATAAGTATTTTGCTTAAATTTTTAATAATATTTATTATAGTGATAAAATGAGCAGGAGCCGAGTTCGCGTATAGTATCACCTGCATAAGCTAGGAAAATCGGGCTTCTGTTCAGATTTTGTGGGGACAATGATAAAACTGTCGTGCACATCATTTGCGACTGTCCAGTACTGGCTGTCCGGCGGCGCAATTGCTTTTGACAGGGTTTCGTAAGCGTTCGGGACTGTCCAACTCCTTTAGGTACATATGTCTCCGGTTTCGCACTTGGAACGGTGATATTGCAGATGGGGTCGTCAGGAGGCTACAATAAGTCGCGAATGCCTTCGGTGGCCCGGGGAATACTCCTGCCCTACTCGGTTCTCTTAAAAATCTACAATCTACAAAATCTACAATAATTATATATAAGGTTTATAGATCCTATATTCTGTATTAAATCAAATCCTGGCCGTACTAAGTGTACATTTACTATAAACTTTTGCAGACTAAAGTTCTGTACACTCCCCAAAATAACACTGAAAATTTTTTTTCATTTTCCACAAAATGTACAATCGTCGTTGCCCACTTTGGTTAGATTCGGAGGTATCGTCTATAATCCGCATAGTAGTATGACAAGATGCCCTTGTTTACTGAAATAAAAATAATTGACCGAGTACTTATACAGGAATCATCTGTTATATAATGACCATTTTTATAATAAAATGTGAATTTAATTAAAAACACATTCAAACATAGCCTAACCTTGTACGACTACCTCAAATTTCTAAATTTTCTCATTTACTTATACTTTGGTCTATACTTATATCTTTGGTTTATTTAAGTAAGTATAATTTTTCTTATTTTTGTTTACGCACATATCTAACTTTTATACTTTTATACTTCTTCCTAGAAATTTAAAAAATAAAAATAAAGTTCTCAGACTTTATGACGCTCCATTTTAATATCCTTTTCCTACATATAACTAAAAATATCCTTTAAAATGTACATACGTTATCATTTTCCTATTTTGCTTTTCATTCATTTTTATTTTAGGAACGATAGCATTACAAACAACTTTCGCGCACATAAGTAAGAGTGTATTATACGCTATGTGAACATAAAATGTCTATGCACGTATTATTCAACTTCATTCTTAGAAGTTCATAAAAAATAAAACTTTTCCTGGTATACTTACAATTTATCAACGACTACAGCACGAGAATGAAAAATTATTTTTAGCAAAAATTGTGTCTAAAATATATTTTTTTCTTTAGAAATAAGTTCGGATAAGATCTTAAACATTTAATATTATTGTAACTTTGTAAATATGAGTATGTGTGTATATATATAACTACATACATAAGATTCTAAATGTCTTTTAAAGCAAAATCAATGAAAACAGATTGTCTTTGTATACCTTGTAACAAAATAGCTTTAACTACAGTAATATATCACATGTATTTGTTGTACGTAATTGCTCACACTTACTTATCTATTTCTATACAATATAGGCCTAGAAACAAATAAAATATTGTTACAGTGACATAAAATTAATTTATTATATACTATATAGATTATTGAGAATTTAATCAGAAAGATTACAAAATTTACGTATTTTAACTATTGTTTTATTAATTTATCAAATCAGTAAAAATGTACTGTCTAAAAGTTTGGGTTTCTTACAGAACAAAAAACAAAGTTTCATAATATTAAAGGATTAATTTTATGGAAATACTTAATGTAGTCACATTTTTATTTCACAAATATTATAAGGATTGCGTGAAGTTTTACCAAAATAAAAATTTTTAAACGAGCATCAAAAATAAGGCCATTTTGAATTGACAAAAATTAACATGCGACAGAATGAGCATCAACAGACAATTAAATGTAGTTTATAAGAGAAAAATCCAGTTTCCGTTGTAAATGTATACTTAGCCAAACATACTTAAAATGAAATACGAGACAATTATCAAATATTAGTATATAGCAGATTCAAACCTAGCTTGCACAAGTTCATTTATTACGGCATTTATTGTTATTTGTTGTTCGGGCATTTAAAGAACCTAATACAACCTCTGATTCTTATTTTGTGTCAAGAATATGTAAATTTTTAAATTCTAATCTAATCTTGTTCAAAATTCAATTTGCAGGATTACAAATTTAAATTTTTTTTTTTTTGTAAGTACATAAAATTATTTTCATCATAATTTCACGAAGATGAATAATCCCCATAATATACTTAACATTAAATTTCTCAATTTGATAATTTTTCTTTTTTACTTATGCTTCCATTTTGCGCAAAAAATTTAATCTTGTTGTTATTACACACATTTTTTTTTTCTTATTTATTTCTTATTGTTAATAAAACTTATTTTACTCTTTCTACATAATCACACCTGCATTATTATTTCGTCCTTGAACAATATAACAAAAATCAACGAGTAAATTTGAAGAAACACGCGAAATTAAGGTTCCCTTATCGTTCTTTTTTACTTTATGAATGTTTTTGCATTTTGTTAAACGAAAACAATACATTTTTTTTTCTCATGTTTTGTATACAGCGAGCATGATACCTCCATAACTACACTTTGTAATTAAAGTGTACATATACAAAAAGAGAACAATAAAATTTAAGGTGGTTAAGTTGATTAATGTATATTTTTTTGAAATATCGGCCAATCTTATAACTTTAATAAGGTGTTCCACATATAGTAAATAGGTTTTTGTTATAAAATGATGGTATAGGTTAGTATAACTAATATACAGGCTTGGTACATTTAAAGAATTACTAACGTTACTTAACAGGTACTGGAGATTTTTAGAAGATAGAAGTAAATATGTAAAACTATATTGTAAATAATTCATAAAATACTTTTCAATCAAAAATATAGGTGGGGTTTTTCTTAAAGTATAAATAGAAAAATTCAATGCAATTTCATACGAGACAATTATAATTCAGAAAAAAAAAAAAATTAAAAATTTCACTTACTATTAACTTTTTTATAATTAATATGAACGCTTCCATCCAAATGTATACTTAAATTATCCAAATTATTTGGTACACTAACTTTACAGCATCTTAATCCATTTGTATATGCATTAATAATTGAATCCCGATATAATTTAACTAATTGAAATATTAATGCCCATGCTTGTTCTTCTGATATTGGTGCATTAAATGCACTCAAAATATCTTTTAATGAAATACAACCATCACGATTACAACAATAGCATATTAAATCATTTGCACTTTTTATATTATCACTTACATTATTAATATTTGTTATTGTATTTGTATTATTACTATTATCATTATTACTATTATTCATTTTTATATTATTAAATTTTTTCATATTTTGTATTATTTTTTTAATATTATGATCATTATTTATTATATGATTACTATCATTATTATCATCATCATCATCATCATCACCATCATCACCATCATCAATATGATCAATATCAATTAAATCATTTTCATTATCATGATTAATATTATTACTATTACTATTACTATTACTACTACTACTATTACCGCCATCACCATCATTATTAATTATTGTTTTATTTAATTTATTAAAATTTTTATTATTTTTAATTATTTTAAATTCAGATGATTTTTTTGAATTTTTTGTATTCTTTTGTATATTATTTGTACAACATTCTTTTATTTCAATTGCCGATTCCATACTAGAATCAATAAATCCTTCTTCTTCACCTTGGCTATCATATTCAACTTGATGTTGATTTAATTTAACATGGCGATTATTTATTTGAAATCTATTATTACTATTATTTAATATTATATTATTACTATTATTACTTTTATTATTTTTATTATTAATACTATTATTATAATTATTAGAATCATAACATGTTGTTGTACTGTTTAAAATTTTTATTGAATCACAACATTTTTCTGATCCAACAACAGTTGTTAAACTATTACATAATATTTCATTATCAGGATCATCACTACTATCAACAAAAATTATATCATCATCATCATCATCATCATCATCATCTATGTCATCATTATCAAAATGATTATCATCATTACTTTCATTTTTAATATCGCATAAAATTAATGATTTACGTTTTTTATTAATATTATTATTAATTATTGGTTGATCTTTTGATGATTGTATTGAATCAATTTCTTTCGATTGATTTGGTGATGAATTTGTATTTGATGGGGTAACATTAAAGCCACCTCCGCCATCTGAAATGGCTGTTGTAGATTTTGATTTATTCATTATTAATTAATTAATTAAATATTTAATATACATTTATAATTATTTTATGAAATTTTAATAACATAGACACTTTTCATAAATAAAAAAATTTTTTCTATTTTACATTTTTCTCTGTTTCAAACACTAATCACTATAGGTATTCAAAATTTTTACATTTACTAATCAAGTTCACACTTATTTAAATTTGTTTTTTTTTTCAATTAAATTCGGGAATTTTTTAACATGTAACAATAAAATTCTAACGTTGCACTTTTACAATATTCTTCTAAAAATTTTTCTCACAAATAAATTTTCTTAGTTAAATGAAACCGCGTTTGTAATACTGACAATTTACCATTTATTTTTTTTATTAATATTTTCGAAAATTTTTTCTTTCATTAAATAATTTTTTGTTTTATTTGATATTGGTTTTTAAATGATTTTTAAATGTCAAATTTTAAAAAAAACAACATGCTATAATTTTTTATTTCTTTAAAATTTTTTTTAAAAATATGATTTTCCTTAGAGTGGTGCCTGCAAAATGAAAATTATTTACATATAGCAGAAATACACGAAATTTAAATGATTTAAAATTTAAAAATTTGATTTTGATATTTTCAAGTAGGTTATTATAATTAAACTTCTTCTTAATTAAGTAATTAAGAGAGCAATGTACTAATTTTATGATACAAACGCTGCATTGGCTAGTGTTATTAACCATGACAGTTTTGTGAATTCAACTAAATTTAATCGCATATACCTACATATATATATATATAATTTTCTTAATTCTAATTTTAAATCAGAATTTTAGGAATAAAATTCGAATTTAAATTTTCGAATATTTCGAATCTTGTGTATTCGTATTTTTGCATATTGTTGGCAACACGCAAAATAAAATTAATTAACAATAATTTAATAAAATAAAATATTGTTTAATTAATGATTAGAAAAAGCTTCAATTTAAAAATAAATTTTTAATTATTCTAAAAGAATAAATTAAATCAAGTGAAGTTTTAATATTAAAAACAATTTGATCGAGTAACTTATTCGTAACAAAAAATTTTTTCAATTATACTTGATTATGTTCAAATTATTAATGATTTGGAAAGAAGATTCTTCTTCATCCAGAAACTTAAATTTAATTACATTGAATAATTGTTCGCTTTGATTTTGTAAAATTATAAAAAAAAAATGACTAAGTATCCACAATTAAAAGGTTCTGTACACCCACCCTGATTTAATCCAAGGTTCTTGTAGAAATCTAGAATAAAATAAAACTAATTCTAATATTTTTCATATTTTTGCTTAAAATGCAAATTGTTTCTAGTTGTAAGTATGTTCTTTTTTCTTTGTTACGGATTATTTATTCTTTGTAGTTGCGTTTATATTTTTATATTTAAGTAATTTTTTATACGATATTGTAATCAAATTCATGTACATATATGTACATAAATGCCATTCAATATTATTATATTAAAATATTGTGATTAATTCTAAAAAAATAATAATAACCCACTATTCATAAGCGAACACCTTGCTTTTTCTATTCAATTCATTTCTTATCCTCCTAAGAATAAGAAGAGAATAATGCGTTTTACACTACAAATATATATACAATATTACATATATTTTGCATATACATCTGCACGTAAATTTTATACATAAATAAAGCATATAATATTAAATTTTATGTGATTTTTTTTTTAATATTGATTTTCCGCGCCTTATGGTCATGAAAATAAAACTAGTATTCTTTTTTTTTACTATTTTCTGTAGAAATAATTCTATGCATGTATATTAATACATGTGTATTAATATATACATATGTATATATGCAAATATAATAATTGCATAAGTACAGCGTATATATATATATATATATATGTATGAATGTAGTTATCCAAATATTATTGTGTGTTTATATGTTTTTAATATCCTTGTTTTTATGTATGGGTCAATATTGCTATTAAAAATTTCCGGATTTTTTTTTTGGTTATTGCATTTTAAAATTTCAATTTTTTTCTTTTATTGTACTAAAATATTAAATAATAAATTTTTATTTTAAATTTGGCAAAAATAATTTTTATAAAATTCAAAAATTTATTTTATTTTGTTTTTTTTTTTGAAAAATGCACCCTGTTTAATTTATTTTCCATAAAAATTTATAAAGCAGGCACAATTAATTAAGAAGAACTCAAACTTTGTTTCCCTCGTTTTTTTTTTCTTCTCAGCTTTACTTATAATTTCACATACCTACATGTACATTAGCAAGTTTAATTCACCGTTATCTTTATTTATTTATGTATTCAATTTTTCTTGTTTTGATTACTTTTAATTACCAAAAATATGAGATTAACAATTTTTTTTTTTTGATTTTCACAAAATTTCAGATTTTTTTTTTTTTTGAAATAATTTTATTTATTCTTTTTTTTGTTTTAATATCAAATTAATTAATTAAAATTTGTCACATTAAATTGTATTTTTTTTTTTGCTTTAACGTACATATATACTGAGAACGGTACAACAGATAAAAAAAAAAATATTTACAAAAAAAAATAATTTTTAATTTTTTTAATTTAAACTAAACTCTAAATTACGATCAACGCGCTCCGAATGTTCGATTAAAACTAAACCAACAAAAATCCTTCTTCAATATTCTTTCTTGTATTGAGTAAAGAAAAACCAAACTTCTTTTTAATGCTCTCTTTAATTTTTTTTTTGTTGCAATGAAATGAAAAATGTTGTTTTGTTGTTTTTGTTTAGGTTTAGAAAAAAATAAAGCTTAAATTTTTTTGAAAAGAGAGAATTGAATTATTACTCTTTCATTCCACGATTTTTTTGTTAAAGGAAATTTTTGTATGATTTGAGTTTTTTCACCATGAAAGCAAAAAGAAAGAGAAATAGAGAATTGAATTGAAAATTCCATTCCAATTTATTTACTCGTATTAATATTTTTCTATTATTGTTTGTTGCAACATTTTTTTTTTTGCTTTGCCGAAAAGAAAACAAAATAAAAATATAACAGTGATACTACTGTTGATAATGATAACACAATAACAGCTGATAAAAGGAAAAACTCTTAAATGCTTATGCTTCATATTATTCATATATGTAGTGTATTTACTACAATTGTATGATATGAGTTGAATTGTATTGAAACTATTTGTTGATGTTTGATATGAAAATGAGTATGTAGCATAATATAGAGAAAATGTTAATTTTGCATGATTCAAAATATTGCAAGCTTTTTATAATAGACAATAAGTATAAAGAAAAATAATAAAAATTAATAAAATATTTCAAATTAATAATAAAATAGACATATCATCGGTATTATGGAAGAGTCATGTAACTGTATTTTTTGAAAGTTTTGAGTTGTGTATACAAAAAAATTAAGAAATTTCTAAGCTATCTTTCTAAAGAACTCTCGTAACTCTAACGCTAGTATTTTCGGAAAAATAACGTTGTAAATTTTACATGTCTCTGCAAATTGCCATTATTGTGTAAATTTTTAAATATGTTGTTTTCGAAACATAAAAAAAGTATTTTCGTAACTCTACCATAATACCAACGATATTAAAATAGAAAAATCTTACAAATCGAGCATACATATTAAGAAAAATGTATATTGGCTAACACAATGTATGTTTATCAGAATATTGTCTACTAGCCCAATATTATTTAATGGTACTAATCTTAACATAACAAAAATTTCTACCAGCTGTGGTACTAATACTAAATAAAAATATTTAATTATTATAATAATCACTGAGATAAATTTACGTGATTACTGAGTTAAAATTTAACGTAAATTTTATAAATTTTATTACAGTATATTATTATTGTTGAATAAAATAAAATAAAATTAGAAATTAAAATTTAACTAAGAAAGAATCAAATTAGAATAAAAAATAAATTAACAATTAAAAGAACTTAAAGGAAAAAATTTTAGGGCGGTCATTAAACGAAACGAAATAATGATCCCACGTTCTCTATTTAAATTAAATGTTAAAAAATATTAAATGCTTGGACACCGAAAATATTTTTATTAAAACTTGTGTGTTAACATTACTCTTATAATTGTCTATTGGTCTTCTCTATTCATAAAACATTTATTGCTGTAACAGCGACAATAGTAACAACAGGGCAATAGAACAAAATTTATAATATTGTTAGTTTGTGTAGGTGTCAAAAAATTCTCTGTAAAAATTACTATTATTTTTTTTCTCATTTAGAAGAAAAGAAAAATAAATATCTATTACAAGCTGGTGTCGGCATTCGGCAGCAAATAAATTTTTTTTTTCAATTCTGGATGTAGGAACAATAATATATACATACTCACTAATTTTAAATGTAGAATTCAAATTAAGTATGCGTATATGAATATCCCAATTCCCCTTTCAGTGGAATTTATGTGGACCACCGATGTTAAGAAGAAGGGTCATATACAAATATTTATTTTTTTTTTAAAATTAGTTACGATATTATAAAAGATGATATCACATAGGATACAAAAAATAACTAAATGATATATGGGAATTGGATATGGAGGTATTGGAGGATTCAAAAGAAATATAAAATATTTGGGTAATATAATAGAAACAATTATCCAATTAGATATTTATTTTACCTGTAGGATGACAAATTTTGTTTTTTTTTTTTTGAAAAATGAAATATTCAAGAACACTGCAGGGATCTTTTATATATTTTTTATAGATATTTTTCTTTTGTTTTTGTTTTTATACTCTAACATGTACGGTTGAATGAGGAGCAAAAAAAATAGTTTTAATCGTGGTAAATTTCAAATAAAAATAATTTCGTGGTGAAATTTATAGGCTGATGGTTATTAAGCAAAGAACTATTCAAATATTTTGAAAAACAAATACATATGTATATTAAAAATATAATTTTCTTGGAGAGTAATTGCCATGTAAGTAAATTGATTTAAAAGTAATTTAGTCCTAGCGCTATGGGTAAAACAGTAAAAAACCGAAACATTTGTTTTTCATAATGAATATCAAATTTTTTTGGTGAATCTTGAATTTTGGGGGTGAATCATTTCAATCTTGGATCATTTTAAAACACTTAATTGTATATTTTAATTAATTTTATAACAAGGTAATTGCAATTTACACAAAAATGCATGACTTGTGAAAATTAAGTATGAATGAAAGTGCAACCACATTCATTAACGCAAAACAAATTAAATTTAATGAAGAAGAAAATTAAAAAAAAAATTCAATTGTAAAGAAGTTCATTGTCTAAAAAAAAAATTCATTCATTTAATCTGTGTGTGTGTGTGTGTGTGTGTATTGCGGAGTTCTCAGCTCAAATACAATCATCAAATTTAATTAATAGGAGTTAAACTGAAAGGAAAAGTAAAATGAAAATTTTTTTTTTCGGCACAACAATTGTGAGATCATTTTAATTGGAAATTTCAATTATATTTTGAAAAAAAAGCAGAAAAAACCCAAAAAAAAATTAAAAATTCATTCATCTTTTCTTGCACATTTCTTGTGGATTGTGTTTTTTTAAATTTTACTAGCATGACTGATTTAATTTTGTTGAAAATGTAAAAAATAATTATAAAGTCAAAATTATAGTTTAACTTGTTGTTTATACATTTTATGTCAAAATCTTATTGTTTGATTTGTAAAGGAAATTATATACATATGTATATACATATAGAATAATTAATGCTAGGAAGACTCACGTTACTGTCATGATAGCAATGTTCAACTATTGTTATTTAATTAAAAATAGTATTTGAACATTGCAATATTCTCTTAGGAATATTGCATAGTTCTCTACATTATTCTTTACAGAATCGGGAACTCTATAATTAACAGAGAATAATTGCATTTTCAAACAGAAATCTTAATGGTAAAAAATTATAAAGTGAAAGATTTTTAATATATAACGTTATTTTCTTATACAAATTCAAGCAAAGCAAAAAACACCCGTTGTAAATTGGTGGGAGAGAGTAATGACAGTTGTATTTTGTGACAGCTGTGGATTAGTGGGAGAAGAGGATGAAAATTCATCATAGAATTAAATTAGAATAAAATTGTTCCGAAAAGGAAATTTTCTTTACTGTTAGTAATTTGATTGTGATAAGAATAGTAAATTTCAATTTAGTATAGAAAATTGTGATACAGGTAGAAAAGGTACTGTTACCTTTACTGTTATACGTACTGTAAAAGAGATTTTTTTTTTTGATATTTTGTATTCGGTATTTGTAATTTAAATTAACTTTAAAGCGGCAGAATGCAATATCTCAATAGTCATTGCGATTTCTCAACTGATTAGCTACTGAAATCAATTGCTTGTAAAAATGTGTAGCATTGCATACATGTTTATAATTCTTCCTAATTTTGGTTGCATGGCGCCAATATTGTTTAATAATTTTTCACTTTTAGCTTCTTTTGAGCCTAATAAAATTTACTGTCTTGTTGTCTCTTAAAATTTAATGACATTTTTTTGGTTGATTAATTTGAATATAGTGTGGGTGAAAAGTTAGTATGCCATATGAAAATGCTTAGTTATTATGCTTATATGAATTTGAATTTTTATTATTATACTGTAATTAATAAAAAAAAAATTATTGTGGAAAATTTATTTCTTTTATTAAGAAATTTTATATAATCGAATTTTAATATAAAAAACGAGTTTTTAGTGTGAGATGACAGCTTATAATAAAACAGGAGAAAATTTATTGGTATAACATTTATTTTTATTATTAGTGTTTGGTTGAATATTAATAGATGGAATCACAGTTTTAATTTGTTTGTTTTTAATGTTGCATATAAATAAAAGATTTTTGTTAATAAAATTTCATCTATTGTTATGATTGTGACTGTTAAATATTTTCTGTCAACAAGCCTGATTATAATAAATGAAAAATATGCATTGAAAATTTTCACAATTGTGAATTATTTTCCTTTTAAACCATCTTGCATATAATATGGCAATGGACAGTAAAATTTTATTTAATGCGTACATTTTTAGTAAAGAAATTTTTGTCTTACAAGTAAATGTTTTTATATAATGTAATGTTAATTATTAACATTAGTATTAAAAATTTGGTATATGATTGATAGTTCAAAATTTACTCACTTATGTTGTTGACTTGTTGAAATTGTCATATAGACAAATGATAAGATATTTTTCCCGTAAGATCTCGTTCCGAATAGGCATTGTTCTGAACTATTTTTACATAT